ATTGAAGGAGTAAACCAGGTGGCTGTGTATAAAGGTGTCTACTAAATAATATAAACGATTAAATTAGCAGTTGAGGCATTAAAGAGTTAATTCAGAATTCAGAAATGTCATTCCAAAATCTGCGTGATTGTCCTTCTTCTGTGAAACATAAAACACATTTTAAAAATGTGTTTTTATTTTGTCCATACAATGAAAGTCCATGGGATCCAATGTTGTTTAAAGCCCAACATTCTTAAAAATATCATCTTTTGTTTCTGCAGAAGAAAAAGTGACAGGTTTAAAAACACTCAAGTTTGGAAGTTTTCCCAGATCCCCTGATTTTAATCACCTTTTGTGCCTTCTTTAGTTCAGGTTAATGGTTCTGTGGTGTGGCAAATAATTATTTTAAAGTACATGTTTTTAAAGGGGTCATATGATGTGATTTCAATTTTTCCTTTCTTTTTGGAGTGTTACAAGCTCTTGGTGCATAAAGAAGATCTGTAAAGTTGCAAAGATTAAAGTCTCAAATCCAAAGAGATATTCTTTATAAAAATTAAGAGTCAACCACGCCTACCTAAAATGGCTCATTCTAACGCCCCCGCATGTCTACGTCAAGATGTGGGAAGATTTGCATAACACCGCCCAAACGTTCACACAAAGAAAGAAGGAGTACCTTTTATTCTCACTGTAGTATTGTTGCTGCCGCCATGTCGTGAAGACGCTGTGTGTTTCGTTGTGAAAGCGAAACTACTTTGTTTGGCCTTCCAAAAGAGGACGATATACGCTTCGTCATGCCTAGAGCTGATCCGTGCTGGTCGCTGAGGAAATACATCAACTTCGCGCTGTGGATCGCCGGATCGGCTTTCACCGTGGATGAAGCGGAGTCCAGCCCGGGGTCGCCACATGTGGTTGCGCAAGCCCGCCGGCCGCTCCTTCGTCAAATCTGCCGGCCGCGCCTTTCTCAAGCCCGCCGGCCATTTCTCACTCAAGCTCGCCGTCCTCCGCTCACTCTAGCCTGCCGTGTGTGACGCTGTGTGTTTTGTTGTGAAAGCAAAACTACTTTGTTTGGCCTTCCAAAAGAGGACACGACTAGAATGTTTGTCATTTCTCCAATCACAAATGCAGACATGGTTTTATGTTTACGCGGCGCAATGCAACGCAACACGTAAAAAGACAGTATAAGTCATTATAATCCGTAGTTATGTCCCCACTGGATGCAACAAATGCCTTGTTTATAATGGGTTTTAATGTTTTTGTCTCATCTCTCCGGCTGGGACACGGCATCACGGTATGGTAAGGGGCGTAACATTTCCGTCACCCGCTTGAGGTATTCGGCCAATCACAACGCACTAGATAGCTGGCCTATCACAGCACATGGCTCGAAATTTACTTTTTTACTTGGTAGCACTGGTGCTCCCAACTTCAAAAATTTAGGAGCACTCACCAAAAATTTAGGAGCACCACAACTACAAATTATATATGAACAGATTTTATCCTTACATTCTTAACTTTAATGCAGATTTTGTATTGGTTAATATTAGCTGTCAATCTCTGTCACTGCTTTTCGCTAACTACTGCGAGAAAAATAATGCGCTGAAGAAGAGAGAAAATGAAAAGAACACTGACAGATTTCTTTTGTAAATAACCTAAAGTTAAGCTCTTCTTTGCCGAGGGTTAGGATGGTGTATGCGGTGTTAAATATTACATTCAACTCTGCGAGTTGCACCGAACGACTGGCAGCTAGGGGTGTGCGATATTGACAAAAAATTATATCTCGATTTTATCGATAACAATAATTTGACTGAGTTTTACTGTGCTGATATCTTAAGGACTACAGTCGACAGCTGAAATTTTTAATATTCATATTCTGTGTGGTGGTCAGTTCACAGCAGTGACAGAAATTAATCTTTTCCAATAAGTTTAAATAGATTTTTACCTTTTATGGTAATTTTTACCTTAAAGCCATTTTTTTTTCTAAAAGTGTGCATTATCATTTGAGTCAAATTCTTATATTTAATCAGTCAATTATAATAAGACATTTGGGCTGTTATCAAGCAAATGAAAGTATCAATCAACAAAATTAATCTTTGCAATGCAGAGGAAACACAGAAGCTGCATCTGAAATGGCATTTAGATGCATTTACACACTGATTAATGCAGGACATGAATGCATTTAGCCTGCAGTTACACATGCATAAATAATATTTTAATATTGTAAACATAAAACGTTGAATACTGATATTTGAAATATTTGAAACTTTAAATGTGAAATTAAAACCACCAGCAGGTGGCAGCAAGTCATTGTTAATAAGTGAGTCATTGCGATTGAACCGACTCATTTAACGAATGATTCATTCAGGAACGAAACGTCATGTTGCTCAGAGACACAAAACAGTGCTGTGACTGTGCTTGGAATTATTTTGTTGGCGAAATAGAGCAAAAAGAGGAAATATAGTGTCTAAAATGTAAGTCTCTTAATATTAACTTCTTTTTTTATTGAACAGTTGTATAAAATCAATATCACATTTGTAATCAGGCTGATTTTTGGAGGAAACAGCACTCTTCTTGTGATATTGATGAACTATATCAGGGATAAGCAACGTCGGAGTGCCGCTGTAACCCTAATCAAACACACCTGAACAAGCTAATCAAGGTCTTCAGGATTACTAAGGCTACAGACAAGTGAGGTTCTTTTTCAGGGTTAGAGCTAAACTCTGCAGGACATTTTGCCTACCCCTGAATGATATGAAATGATGTAAAGGCCCCATATCTTGAATTTTGTGATGCATTTGAATAGACTGAATCATGCCGTGAAAGAACGCACTCTAAATGTGCACGCGCACTAATCTAACCTAATAGGCTTCACGTCATGTATGCATGCACTCTTTGTAGGTGTGTTTTGTTTGGATTTGACTTTGCAATTTACTCAATAATGTCAAACCGCACATCGTAAAACAACAATTACGAAATGTGTAGATTCGGTGGCGAACGCTGTTACCTGCAAAGTCCATCCCACAGGCTTTACAGTGAACGCAGTGCATAGAATCATTTTCATAGCGGAGCCACTAGAAGTCTTTCAACCACTCTCTCCGAAAACTGTTCGGCTGGTGGATCAACATTCACCACATGATCGCTATCACCAGCACCATTATTTGTAACTTTAGGTGGTTCACAAAAAATGTCAGTTTCTTTTTTTATTTTCTCTCTTCTTCAGCCATTTACATTCCCCGCGGTAGTTAGCTCCTTGTCACCTGACAGCGGAAAGCAGTGACTGGGTGATTGACAGCTAATATTAACCAATCTAAAATCTGCATTAAAGTTAAGAATGTAAAGATGAAGTTTAATTGGTTATGTAGCCTAACGTTTCATAGAACGGCAGACAGGTCACCGTATCAACACTCAGAAGGCACATACCCTGAACGTTTTTAGAGAAATTAAAACAGATCGCACGACAACAATTATATGCACTCGCACAAATGCTCCCAAATATATTTTGAGTTCGCACAGATTAAATCTCGGGAGCATATGCGGCCAAAATGGTCGCAATTTCAAGCCTTTTTCAGACCGATGAGCTTTGTAAAAATCGTCGCTTTTCAGAAAGGCTGTATGTGGAAAATAATGTGTTTTTTGAACCTTAAACCGCATAAACATTTAATTACACCAAATACACAAAATAATGTTATTTTTAGCAACATCATATGACCCCTTTCATGTAGTATTTTAGGTAATATGTGGATATTAATGCTATGTACATAGTGATTATAGAATATCTAGCAAAATGTTCTTTAGCATTGTTTTGCAAATGAACAGCATGAATATTCTGGTTAATCTGATTGGCCAAAGGGTCTTTAGGTCGAAAGGACTCAGCAGGGCTCTCTAGCTATGTTTAGCCTACCAGCATCTTAATAATTAATCTTGTAGTTTAATCAGAATTAATGCCCTTTTATTATTATTATTATTTTTAATAAAGTAGATTAATCGCATCCAAAATAAAAGTTTTTGTTTATATAATGTACAGTATGTGTGTGTACTCTGTATATGTGTTATGTATATGTAAATAGACACACATACAGTATATATAGAAAATATTTGCATGTATATATTTATATTCATATAATTTATATTATATATAAATTATATGAATATATAATTTATATTCCTATAATTTATATTATATATAAATATATTTAATATATAAACAATGTATTTTTCTTAAATATATACATAATAAATATACACAGTACACACACATATATTATGAACACAAAATACTTTTATTTTGGATGTGATTATTCGCGATTAATCGTTGCCCAGCACTTACATAAAGTAAATAATACATTTTAAGTTTACTATCTTTTTATTGATTTTTATATTTTATTTATTTATTTGAATATTTATATTATACATTTTACAGATTAAATCATATTTCAGAGTTTAGGGTACATTTATTTGGAATCTGCAATCATATTAAATGTAATTTGGAATTACTGAAATGTGTATGTAAACATAGTCAGACTGTTCATTCTGAGGAATGAACACATGGAGCTCAAAGGACCAAAGATCTTTGGCAAGCTTTTGCTATTTCCCTAATAATTTTCCTCCGAGTGGTCTGTCTCCTCTTCCTGTATTGTCTCTGCTGTGATACTGGGCAGAATGTGTCTGTTTATATTTAGCCTTGCTCATCAAAGCTTTATTTCTGCTTTTGTAAGGCCAGTGATATGTTGAAAGAATTTATCTTCATTAGTCCTGCTGTCATATAAACAAAAATGTGTTTGTTGTAAATGAACAGACTCCACTTTACATGTAAAAGAGACATAGATGCATTCAGAGTTGTACCAGCAGTTTGTTCACTTTCTCTGCTGCAGTTGGTTGTTTTCTTATGATCTGATAAGCCTTTTTATTTGTAATTTCTTTGCTTAAATCTGTCATTTATTGCATGTGGTTATGGGTTCTCCCATGCACAAAGGCACAGAAGTGTTTCCGTTGGCCCTCATTTCTATGTTGTCCCTTCCCTTCAACAGAACATACACATAAAAACATTGGCTGATGACATGGTAAGGTGTCTGTTTCTTTTATTTTGTGTGTCTTTCTTTTTCTCTTTTGTTTTCTTCTTTTTCTCATCTTCGCCACGACTACCAGCGTGTTGTTAAAGTGAAGTGATCGACGAAGAGAGATCAAAGACAAAAAAGCAAAGTCTAAAATCAGTCTAAAGTTCACTCCAGGTCAGCAAGCCGGAGTTCAAGCAGACACATGGCAGCTTGATGCAATCGTTCATAATAAGTTGTCAGACCTTGTCTTCATTTTGACTTTGGTCTCTCCTTGAACACTTTAATTTTACAACAGATTGTTTTGATTCTTTTCATTCATTTGTTTTGATTTCATCCATATATGCATGTTCCCTCTGTTTTCAATGACAGACTAACAGTGACTACTAGTGCATGGTCTGTTTTCACTCTCTCTGAGCTGGTAACCCATGACCGGAATGCCGATGGAAACCACTCACATCTCTTTCTAATTAGAAACCTTAAACACATCATACTCACATTTTGCCATCTTATGTAGTCCAGAATGCTGTCTGTGATATTGTCTCTGTATTCATTATGACTGTAAAGCGAACATGAACAAGTGGAAAGATGACACGGGTAATATCACCCCTTGCTTTTAAAAGTACAGCTTGGCAAGGTAAAGTAACAAGGGAGCAGGTGAGTCAAATGTCAAGCTATGAACTTTAAACTACATTTTAAAACTTTATAATAAGTAACCAAACTGTTTTGTACTAACTTAAAAAGACCTCCATGAAATCGTAAGGAGAGTTTTGTGGTTATTAGTCCAAGTGTATTAGCTTTGAGGACACTTATTTGCAATTATTTGATCAAAAATACAGTAAAACAGTAATATTTTGAAATATCATTACAATTTAAAATGTTTCATATTTGAATACATTTCAAAATGTAATTTATTCCTGTAATCTTCATTGTGACATGATCCTTCAGAAATCATTCTAATATGATGATTTTTTTGCTTGAGATACATGTCATCTTATCAATGTTGAAAACAGTTGTGCTGCTTAATATTTTTGTGAAAACTATGATACATTTTTACAGGAGTCTTTGATGAATTTAAATTGAAAAGAACAGCATTTATTTGAAATAGAAATGTTAATGTCTTTACTGTCACTTTTTGATCAATTTAATGCATCTTTTACAAAAACATTGATGGCTAATGTTGAACTTCAAAGATTTTTGTCTAATCATATGCTTTCAAATGTGCTTTCCCCTGCAAAACATGGTCAAACCCTTACCCTTTATGCCTTTATACGCCTACATGCCACTTCTAAACTTACTGTCTTAGTAAGAAATACATCAACAGGTGTATTTCACAGGGCCATAAAAGTTAAACCGCTTCTTCAGAAGGCCTTGCATAGTATTAGCATTTCCACTGTCAGATATATATGTTCTGACATATGTACCAGTTATTTACTTCACTTTAACTCAACTGTCTTTCCAGCGTGACAGAATCACCAGTTTTCGAAAGCAAGGCATGAAGAAGGAGAAGCCTTTTATCCAGCACCCCACAGACCCTATCTCCACCCAGACCGAGCTGCCTGTGCCCCAGCCACTCTTCGACGAGCGCTCCATGAACCTGTCAGAGAAAGAGATTGTGGACTTGCTTGAGAAGATGATGGTGAGTTTGTTTTCAATCTGCACTGGGATCTGTACTGTGCTCCAGGCACTGCATGACCTCAGACGCCCTTTTTCACTGATGCATATCAAAGCATGGAGCTCATGTTAAGGGTGTCAATTAGGCCATCAGAACCAGACTTTTCAGTGACATTTCGCCTCTCGCACACTTGGCCAGCAACGTAAAATGTGAGTTTAACAAGGATTTTTCTCAAGCATTTAGTTTGCAAAGCCCTTGTGGAAAAGGAGAGTGCTTATTACAAAAAATAAGCCAAATATAACGTTTGACTTTAAATCATGTAATTAAGTACACTTATTTTGATGTGCTGATTAACATACTAAAGCACATGTGAAGTACTTGATTTTAATTGTAACTCTAGTGTGTTATTTGATGTTACAATTAAAGTTAATATATTTTAAATATACTAAATTGCTACATTTTTCATTAAAACGAAAACTTAACCATATTTCAAAGACCAGTATACATAATTATGTAATTACATATAAAGATACATTTAAGTCCTACTTAAATGGTTCAAAAATCACTTTAAAGTTCAGTTAATTTGATTAAATATAAATTTAACTATACTGCATTTTTATTTAGTTTCCATTAACATGCTATTACGTGTAAGAAAACGTTACATTCAGTTTGCACTTAAGATTATTCTTTTACATTCTACTATTTTCGTAATAAGTTATTTTTGAACTTTATAAGCATGTTTTTATTTAATAAAGTGTGCTAAAGTGCACTTCTTTTTCACAAGGGAGTACTTTTGTAGTAGGTTATTCTTTGTTTTAGTCAGTTGTATAATGGCCTGTTTCCTACCTGGAATTGAAACCAAAGATCTGTAGCCCAGTGCATTAGTGACTCATCGTAGCCATTTGTTTCCTCATGTTTCTGTAGTAGCGAAGTCACGTTTATGATGCATAGATCATCAAAGACACCTTATCTTTCCTTGTCTCTCTTCTGCTGTCAATCACGAGTGGAGAATGGGACTTGAGAGCTTTGCGCTCTCTGCCGACAGGTTGCATTAACTGAGCATTGGCTAGACGTGACACTTGTTCGTTTTCCCCTCTGGGAGAGAATATACATTAGCTACCAAGCTTTTATATGCATGACTCTTCTTGCTAATTCTGTCATTAAGTGTGATATGTTGACAGCTGTCAATAGAGCATCCACCACATAGGATAGAACAAGCTACTGTTACGGATAGGGAGAAGCAGCACATTATTGTCTTAACAGTTTTATTTTACTTGCGGTGAGGGCTGAATGCAGTCTTCACCCTACCTGTGAAGTTCCCGCTCTGTTTATCTGTACATAAACACACACACTCCTCAATGGTGTCTTCAATCCCCAAGACACCAAAACCGACAGGGCTGCTGCATACACTGGCCTCAATTGAACTCACACTTGTTTTGGCCTAGACAAGTCAAATAACAAAATCTGGCTGCAGAACAATGGGAGGATTATTTCCCAGACAAGAAAAATGTTTGCTTTGTATTAGTTTTTTTTGGGTCAGAGCTCTCCCCATCCTGCATCTGTCACAGCAGAGTCTGTCTGTGATGCTTTTTGTATTATTTGACTGTTTCTGTGGATTTATTGTTTGTAGATCGGAAACTCTGCCAATTTCGCAGCACCTGAGCAGAACTGAGCTTCAGTGCCCATTTTATGTACTCTAAACTGCCTTCCAGGCTCCACTGTGAATTGTACACCTCATTAGGTTGATACCATTCACATTGATAATTGACTGGTACTTGCGTCAAAGGCAAAAGATTACTGGGCTCCCCACCAGCCAAACCTTTTGACATATTTTTCGAAAGAGGCAGCATTTATTTGGAGAAATGGACTGCTTACCATCTGTGTGGTGAACAATAGCTCTATAGTTTTGTTCTGTGTGATTCTTACAAAGGCATTCTATTGATATTTCTTTTTGCTTTGTAATCTGAATACATTACAGGTACTTGATATAATATTGTTTGCAGGTCAATCAGATTTGTAATTTTTTTTTATATCAGAGACATTACCTTACAAAGAATCTTACAAAAATAACATACATAGTTCATTATTTTCCAAAGTTTGTGGTCAGTAAGATTTTTTTTATATGTATATTTTTGAAAAAATGCTCAACACTGCATTTATTTAACTAAAAATACAATGAAACCGTAATGAAATATTCTGAAATATTATTATAATTTAAATTATTATTTTTTTTAAATTAAAATTCATTTTAAAATGCAATTTACTGATGTTATGGCAAAGCCAGTCTGCAGCCATTACTCCAGTCTTCAGTGTCACATGATTAATAGGAAGATTAAAAGAACAGCATTTATTTGAAATATAATTTTAAGTTTGTCACTTTTGATCAATTTAATGCATGCTTGCTGAATAAAAATATACATTTATTTTTAACAAAACGTAAAAACGTTTGAATGCTAGGGTATGCATTCATTCATTCAATCATTCATTCATTCATTTATTCATTCTGTAAATGAGAAAATAAGAAATTGAGAAAGTTGTTGTCCATTTGACCTGCGTAGTGCGTACTAAAGTATTTTTTTGAAGCAGGTGACAAATAGATAAAATTTAGGTAATCATTTAAAAAAACAAACTTGTGTGCTGTGCTGTAGCTATCATATAAAATACTGGGCATTTCGACACATTGCGTCAGGTTGGACATCAAACATTGTTGGTTCTTGTGTTTCTTGGGATCAGATATCTTTGATATCAAACATGGTATTTATATCTTTTGCCTTACTGAATTGTGGTCTTGAGGGTATCCATTCCTTGGGCTTGCAGAGCAAGTACAATTATTTTAATGTGACAGTAGAACATATAGCTGAACAGAGTCCCCTGGTGTCTAATTTTGCCTTCATGCTTACTTTTCATTAACGTTATAGCATTTAGGCAGATAGTGTGTCTTTCTTTAAAGCTTTAAAATGTTAGAACTATGCCTATCTTCCACTGTTTTCAAATGTTCTGTGCTTGTGACCAGATTGCCTGGTCATATGTAGAACTGAGTCATACAGAACATTTTCTGTAATTGCCTTGCATTCTTTGACATGGTGGGCTATAATCAGTTTGATTTGTTCATTTGTTTCAAATGTTTGCACCAATCTTCAACCCACCAGAGACTCTTGGCCCACCATATTTTCTTGTTGTGTTAGTAACTGCCTGTCACTCACATAACCTCTCAATTGCTGTTTTTGTTCTCAAGATAGTGGAACATTAAACCTGGGCTTCAATTTGCTGCTTGACAAGCCAGGCAGGTTTACAGGCCTGAAACATGTTGCAAGGAACGAAATTGGCTTTTGCATAATAATCGTAATGAAACAATTGAGGGAAAAAATTTATTGCATGTGGTTATGGGTTCTCCCATGCACAAAGGCACAGAAGTGTTTCCGTTGGCCCTCATTTCTATGTTGTCCCTTCCCTTCAACAGAACATACACATAAAAACATTGGCTGATGACATGGTAAGGTGTCTGTTTCTTTTATTTTGTGTGTCTTTCTTTTTCTCTTTTGTTTTCTTCTTTTTCTCATCTTCGCCACGACTACCAGCGTGTTGTTAAAGTGAAGTGATCGACGAAGAGAGATCAAAGACAAAAAAGCAAAGTCTAAAATCAGTCTAAAGTTCACTCCAGGTCAGCAAGCCGGAGTTCAAGCAGACACATGGCAGCTTGATGCAATCGTTCATAATAAGTTGTCAGACCTTGTCTTCATTTTGACTTTGGTCTCTCCTTGAACACTTTAATTTTACAACAGATTGTTTTGATTCTTTTCATTCATTTGTTTTGATTTCATCCATATATGCATGTTCCCTCTGTTTTCAATGACAGACTAACAGTGACTACTAGTGCATGGTCTGTTTTCACTCTCTCTGAGCTGGTAACCCATGACCGGAATGCCGATGGAAACCACTCACATCTCTTTCTAATTAGAAACCTTAAACACATCATACTCACATTTTGCCATCTTATGTAGTCCAGAATGCTGTCTGTGATATTGTCTCTGTATTCATTATGACTGTAAAGCGAACATGAACAAGTGGAAAGATGACACGGGTAATATCACCCCTTGCTTTTAAAAGTACAGCTTGGCAAGGTAAAGTAACAAGGGAGCAGGTGAGTCAAATGTCAAGCTATGAACTTTAAACTACATTTTAAAACTTTATAATAAGTAACCAAACTGTTTTGTACTAACTTAAAAAGACCTCCATGAAATCGTAAGGAGAGTTTTGTGGTTATTAGTCCAAGTGTATTAGCTTTGAGGACACTTATTTGCAATTATTTGATCAAAAATACAGTAAAACAGTAATATTTTGAAATATCATTACAATTTAAAATGTTTCATATTTGAATACATTTCAAAATGTAATTTATTCCTGTAATCTTCATTGTGACATGATCCTTCAGAAATCATTCTAATATGATGATTTTTTTGCTTGAGATACATGTCATCTTATCAATGTTGAAAACAGTTGTGCTGCTTAATATTTTTGTGAAAACTATGATACATTTTTACAGGAGTCTTTGATGAATTTAAATTGAAAAGAACAGCATTTATTTGAAATAGAAATGTTAATGTCTTTACTGTCACTTTTTGATCAATTTAATGCATCTTTTACAAAAACATTGATGGCTAATGTTGAACTTCAAAGATTTTTGTCTAATCATATGCTTTCAAATGTGCTTTCCCCTGCAAAACATGGTCAAACCCTTACCCTTTATGCCTTTATACGCCTACATGCCACTTCTAAACTTACTGTCTTAGTAAGAAATACATCAACAGGTGTATTTCACAGGGCCATAAAAGTTAAACCGCTTCTTCAGAAGGCCTTGCATAGTATTAGCATTTCCACTGTCAGATATATATGTTCTGACATATGTACCAGTTATTTACTTCACTTTAACTCAACTGTCTTTCCAGCGTGACAGAATCACCAGTTTTCGAAAGCAAGGCATGAAGAAGGAGAAGCCTTTTATCCAGCACCCCACAGACCCTATCTCCACCCAGACCGAGCTGCCTGTGCCCCAGCCACTCTTCGACGAGCGCTCCATGAACCTGTCAGAGAAAGAGATTGTGGACTTGCTTGAGAAGATGATGGTGAGTTTGTTTTCAATCTGCACTGGGATCTGTACTGTGCTCCAGGCACTGCATGACCTCAGACGCCCTTTTTCACTGATGCATATCAAAGCATGGAGCTCATGTTAAGGGTGTCAATTAGGCCATCAGAACCAGACTTTTCAGTGACATTTCGCCTCTCGCACACTTGGCCAGCAACGTAAAATGTGAGTTTAACAAGGATTTTTCTCAAGCATTTAGTTTGCAAAGCCCTTGTGGAAAAGGAGAGTGCTTATTACAAAAAATAAGCCAAATATAACGTTTGACTTTAAATCATGTAATTAAGTACACTTATTTTGATGTGCTGATTAACATACTAAAGCACATGTGAAGTACTTGATTTTAATTGTAACTCTAGTGTGTTATTTGATGTTACAATTAAAGTTAATATATTTTAAATATACTAAATTGCTACATTTTTCATTAAAACGAAAACTTAACCATATTTCAAAGACCAGTATACATAATTATGTAATTACATATAAAGATACATTTAAGTCCTACTTAAATGGTTCAAAAATCACTTTAAAGTTCAGTTAATTTGATTAAATATAAATTTAACTATACTGCATTTTTATTTAGTTTCCATTAACATGCTATTACGTGTAAGAAAACGTTACATTCAGTTTGCACTTAAGATTATTCTTTTACATTCTACTATTTTCGTAATAAGTTATTTTTGAACTTTATAAGCATGTTTTTATTTAATAAAGTGTGCTAAAGTGCACTTCTTTTTCACAAGGGAGTACTTTTGTAGTAGGTTATTCTTTGTTTTAGTCAGTTGTATAATGGCCTGTTTCCTACCTGGAATTGAAACCAAAGATCTGTAGCCCAGTGCATTAGTGACTCATCGTAGCCATTTGTTTCCTCATGTTTCTGTAGTAGCGAAGTCACGTTTATGATGCATAGATCATCAAAGACACCTTATCTTTCCTTGTCTCTCTTCTGCTGTCAATCACGAGTGGAGAATGGGACTTGAGAGCTTTGCGCTCTCTGCCGACAGGTTGCATTAACTGAGCATTGGCTAGACGTGACACTTGTTCGTTTTCCCCTCTGGGAGAGAATATACATTAGCTACCAAGCTTTTATATGCATGACTCTTCTTGCTAATTCTGTCATTAAGTGTGATATGTTGACAGCTGTCAATAGAGCATCCACCACATAGGATAGAACAAGCTACTGTTACGGATAGGGAGAAGCAGCACATTATTGTCTTAACAGTTTTATTTTACTTGCGGTGAGGGCTGAATGCAGTCTTCACCCTACCTGTGAAGTTCCCACTCTGTTTATCTGTACATAGACACACACACTCCCTTCAATCCCCAAGAAACCAAAACCGACAGGGCTGCTGCATACACTGGCCTCAATTGAACTCACGGTTGTTTTGGCCTAGACAAGTTAAATAACAAAATCTGGCTGCAGAACAATGGAAGGATTATTTCCAAGACAAGAAAAGTGTTTGCTTTGTATTAGTTTTTTTGGGTCAGAGCTCTCCCCAACCTGTGTCTGTCACAGCAGAGTCTGTCTGTGA